GAGTTTTTAAGATATTTTGCTCAATAGTGAAGATTTTAGCGTTCAATGTCGCGAAAATGCTTTGGAATTTTATATCTGCTATTATAAATGATAAATATTGCATTTTCGTTAACACTATTGACAGTAAACGGCGTGGCGTGATTGTTTGCCCTTAGTCGCTCCATCCTTCTTATCTTCCTTCTCATTCTAGAGTGAATCTAGCGCAAATTGGGCTGGTCCAAACCTTTTAGTATGTCATTGCAGCAGCGTCAATCAGCGCTATCATGTTCTTGTAATTAATTTTGCGTTTTCTTCTCGCTAGATGGCAGCGCCAACGATCGAGTTTGCATTGCAAGAGCATAAGTTATTCATAATTTGCACTAACTTGTTCGTTTTACATTTTTTGTTCATTATGGACTAGATTATTGCATGAAAAAAGTATGAGCATAAATAAATATTGATTACCAAGTTGAGTTGTCTGCTCGCTTATACGAGCCTCTACGTTCGGAGCAGTAAGATGTGTTCCGACCTTATATTGATTTGACATTTGAAGTGAACAAATTTGGCATACCTCGTAAATTTATTATGAAGAGACCTTTTGCATCTATACTTTTAATGCTATTTCACTTTATCGCTTATTTCGGGCATGCGCATTCACTAGGAATTGACGGAATCCCTTACTAACCGATAAAGTTTGACGTTACCTGCGAGTGAATACGATATCCCGTATTAACGCTAATAATCGAACGTGGTTGCATTTAGTAAAACGTCAATTTAAAAAATGAAATAAAAAAAACTATTTCTCAAATGTTCTGTAACTTATTTCATTGAAAAGCGAGTGCCAATTTTCGCTTTACTCGCATTTTTTTGGTCGCATTCTCTAAGAAAAATAGGAAATATGTACTCGCGCTGGCAACCGCGTATATGTTTCAAACCAAGTGATCCATCCATCTATGCACGGATTCTAATAAAACAGCCGTGGTTCTATGTTTATAATTATGTCGTATGATTTTTGTGTATTTTTTCTGGAGCTTTTAAAATCCTATAAAATGGACCAGATGAAAAAGAATGCGATTTAGTGATCAAAATTAACTTATTTTATTCCGTGGAATTATTGGTCAAAATCCTGTTCTGTTTCATGCAAATTAAAAGAAGTTCCCCAGCCTCTCAGTGGGGTTGGGTCGATGCAAAACATTATTTAAAAATATAGCTCTCACAGGATTATGATATAGGCAAAGATGCCGTCGGTTCCATAATTTTTTTTTTTTAAATAAAAAAGTAAAAAAACGAAAAACTTCTGCAGGTAACCTTACTTTCACTAAACGTCAAATAGCGTGTAAACAAGAACTAGGGACGGGGTGCAAAAACAAAAAAATTCTTCTTCAAAAAATGGCGTGACGCAAGCTACGTCACAGCGCGTTAATAAGCGATGAATTCACATATGGCATATTTTTCATAAAAAGTGCAAAAGATCTCTATTGTGCTGTTTATGTCGCCGAATATGCAGTGATTAAGTTGTGAAAAAAAATCCCTTGAAGATAAAACGTTGTATGTCATGCGGTGCCGGAGGTCTTCTTGTGCTTCGCTCAATTGTAGAGTTGAGCTCAGGACAAAAATACCAACTTATTGGCATAATGGCCAAACTTATGGTGATTCCTGAAGGGGTATATAGTATGTATTATATCAGAAACCTTTTTTGTACCTTTTCAATCATTTTCTGATTTTCCGTTTGACGCGACCAAATAACCAAGGCATATTCTAAATGATGCCTTATCACAGTGTAAATAATTGATTTCATGTTCTTGAAGTATTTGGCATTCCCTTTTCATAGTGATGGTTATATTTTAAGCTTAAGTTGGCCTGTAATTGTATTCCTAGCATTTACTTTTTTTAATCAATACATGATTATTCATGAATATTCATAGCTAAGATAGTTCAATCTATGGGTGAAAGAAGAAAGTCAGACATTTGCTTATGTTTAAAGACATTTTGTTTTCTGTGGATCACAGAGCAACATAATTTAGAACCTTTTGAGGGAGGTCACAATTTCCAGGGTTAGATATACGCCTATAAACCTTCAAATCATTAGCAAATAAGAGACTTCAGGAAAATTCAACACACCCGGGTAAAAAATAAAATAAAAGTTCTTGACCTCCACCTTTTCGTTGATTCCAAGAGGAAAGATAAGATTCCCATTAACAAGAAAAACCAACTCTACCCCGTTTAGTGACAAGAAGCTAAGCCCATGGTCTACTTCATCGAAACCTTTTGCAAAATCTGTCAGAATAACATCCACCTGTTCTTTACCATTTATGGCACTAGCTGCTGCCTCTTCTACGGTATGGAGGTTGGAGACTATTGATACATGAGGCAAAAAACCATGCTGCTGGGGAATAATTGGAATTATCTTTTAATATTTCTTCTAATCTATCTAGAAAAATGTTCTTTTCGATACTGGGTTAAATATTTTTACTAATATAGATGTATTAGGGCTAGCGCATAGGTACTATCACTACCAGTGGCTTTTTTTGGTTCAAGCTTTTTGATGCCAGCTTTAACTTAATTTTTGCATCTACATCTCACGAATTCGGAAAAATTATTCGGGTCTATGTTTACATTGTTCTCAATGGTTTCATGATATAGAACCTCTGGCTGTTACGTCCCTTAGGGAGTTGATGTATCAAACGTCCTCTAGAGTAGTTGGTTGAATTTCTAAGTCTCAAGACTCATCCTTAACCCGTAATGCAAGATTATGTTGAGCCCTGGATAATACATATCCTCTTTCAAAATTGGATTTTCACACCTTCCTAATTTACATATTTTCATATTAGATCGTATAAGGTCCAACTTTATTTATCTGTTATTATTGTATTGCATTGCATTGTACTAGGATATTGAAAATAGGAAATTATTCAATAAATTGCTCTCATTGCAACCCACACACAACATAGATGAGATAGGTACCAACTCTTCTTTCACCCTTTCACCTTAATTTCAACCAGTAAGCAGTCAAAGGAAAGGTTATCGCAGTTTATTTTCAAACATTACATTTTAAGAATCTTTTGAAGCTATCAGGGGTCGCCCTCCTCTTCTTCTATCATCTCTGTCTTTTCTGTAAAGCTCCTATGGATCATCAAATAGTTCAGTATTATTGAATTCTTCTCTTTATCCGGTAGTTATTATGTAAAAGTAAGAAACCTGTTATGTTTGAGGATCTTTCGTCGTTGACAACTTTCTCTTTTTTTTTTCAAAAAATCTTGACACTGTTTTCTGAAGTCATCCTGTCTTATTTTGACTTTCATTGAAGTATAATTTGGGGGTTGGTTTCAACATCATATAATTATGCTTCTCACACTTTACATGTGGGAACTTGGTTTCTAGGAAAGCCTGTAGGTTAGATTAATTGAACAGAGATGGCGCAGAAGCGTCCTCTTACCATTGCAATCTTGTCAAATTTATTATGGTATCTCCTATCTGACCTTAGAGTGCGTTGTCCAGACCCGTCCTTCTGATAAGACTCCAGAGCCGTGAAAGTGGCGACTCCATATAGCTTGCCGGTTTGGGCTTCTACTCACCAAGTTGGCGGAACCTGCATAGACTATCTTCTGCCAAGTTTCGTAAGCCTGTAACTGTGTGTGAAAATCTTATATTTTTAGAGTCATTGTGGAATATGGAATGAACTAACTTTTTGTCCCAAAGCAACCGAAATACATTATGTGAAATATCCTTCCTAATCAAGCCAACGTCATTTGTCACTTTTCACCTGTCAATATCGTATTCGTGTAGTAGTCGTATGTCATTCATAATTTTCGATCATGTCATTCATAATGTTTGATTATGTCATTCCATACCTAATTAACGTCCACCAAACTTAAGAATGGTACACGCACGTGTCTGCGCGGAGTTCTGACGTCGAAGCCAGCGGGCAAACTATTATTTCGATAATATTTATTTGGTTTTGAAATAGATCTGATTTAGGTAGGCTACTGAAATGACCGAACTACTCGCCGTTGTTATGGCAACCGTGATGGACATACCAATGCGCAACTTGCGGCGAACCACGTGCGTGTACCATTCTTAAGTTTGGTGGACCCTAACTGGTTTTTAATTTAACCTATTATTATAATTGAAAACTAAAATCTTAAATAACCATAGAAGATAATAACTAATTATTAATTCAATTAGTTTCGGTTTTGTTTTTTTTTTTCTGGTGATGCGAGTGCGGTCAGTCAAAAATAGATAGCGCTGCGACTATAGTGTTTTCTGTTATCTCTGAAAAATGACTGGTTTATGATTTCTGTGTGAACAGTCCTACAGTCCATTCTCTACTCTTTCTTCGAAACATTGAATAACCAACAATAAGATACACGTTCATTTAATTAATCAATTTCTATGAAATGAAAACGTTCCATTCTTTTTTGTTGCATGTACATTATTGTTAGACATGCCGCCCCAGTAATCCATCCATAAGACAATTTTAGCTAGCGCGAATATGACATATATTGTTCAGGTTGGTGGCCACAAAAAAAAAAATCAGTTTTCGAACTGCGCAAAAATATTTTTTTTTATGGTAACTCCTGAACGTTTGACTTTAGGAAAAAAGTGCAAATACCAAAACTCAAGAGAATTCCCACTATTTTCGTATACAATTTTTTTTTCTAGCTGTTATATAACGTGATGAGGCTACAGCTACAAAAAGTAAAATACATATATTTTTTTTAGTCGCATTTTTATTATATTTGTTCTGTTTTTAAGATAATTACGATTTAAAAACGATTAAATTTGGCCATAGGGTTGGCACAATTCCTTTTCCTACCCGGATTATACCATTCGACTTCCAATATTACAATTCCATTTGTCTTGAGAAAAAACTAATCCCCATAATTTATGAAGTGAAATATTATTACCTGTTTTTAATTAGATAAACTTAAGAGCCTAAAGAATGGCGCATTGACTCATACTTTCTTGCAATAAATATGTTGCCAATGGAATCGCATAATTCTTATTTTTCGTTTCTACAGATGTTAGGGCGTCGTGAGAAACGTCAATACAAAAAACGCAAGCATAAATCCCGTGCTGTCGAAGGCCTGTCATCTGACGAGGAAAGTTCCCTAGGTGCACCACCGATAGAACCTACACCAGAACCTGATCAAAAGGATGAGGGTCCATACATTTTCAAACGTAAGAAACAAGTTAACTACCACTATGGAGGGCCTCTAGGAAAATGTTCTTCCAGACTGGAAAAAGGTGTTGAGGATCAGTACTTCATGACGTCACTATCTAACAGAAGACCTGTCGGATTTGTCAGAAAGAGAATGGGAAGAGGTGGGAGGGTTATCTTGGATCGTCCAGGGGCAAATGATGATTTCTGGAGAGGGTGAGTACAATTATAAAATACAATCTATTATGGAATATGCAAACAGTGCACAAATTGGGATGATATCAGCAACTTTGTTTTTATAGATACAATAAATAGGTCTATAACAGTATTACAGTCTTGAAAATATTAGCATCAAATTCTTGGAACTAGAAAACTCCACAAAAACGTTAAAACCAGATGTTGGTACCTTTCACACTGACTGGTGGACTTTCTGGTCTGTTGTTATCAGAAAGGTTGGTTGTATATCTCTTCCACGTTTCCAATGGTTCTCTGGGTCTCTGATTATCTCGCTTTGCTCGTCTCTAAGGGAATCTATTGCTTTTTGTCGTATAGTCCAGTTATTTCTTTAAATTTCTTCTCCAGATTGAAGCTGTCTCCAAGACGGTTCAGATTTTCAGCCTGTGTGCATCAAGGTAGATTAGATTAGATTTCTTGAACAGAGATGGCGCAGAAGCGTCCTCTACTACTGCAATTTTGTCAGATTTAATATTGTGGTATCTTCTCTCTGACCTTAGGGTGCATTGTCCAGACTCGTCCTTCTGATAAGAGTCCAGAGCCGTGGAACTTGCCACTTCATATAGCTTGCCGGTTCGGACTTCTTCTCACAAAGTTTTGTAAGTGGTACGGCAGTTTCTTGCGCCTCCTAGCAGAACCTGAATAGGCTATCGTCTGCCAGGCTCTTTCTTTCCAGGTGCTTATTGAGTCTACAATGCCCTGTTAATTGACCTACCATTATACTTACGGCTGTGGCATAGTAGGTCTGATGTCAACTTGGGCGAGCAGGATTTAATGAACTGCTTTGCCTTTCGTTGTCCTGATGTTTGCAGCCACCATCTCTGGAATTCACTGTTTATCCAGTTCTTGATAGACGTTTTAAAGAGGCAAGCTGAGATTCCGCAGAATGGTTCTGGGCTTATCATCTCGGTGGCTGAGCCTTCTTTAGCTAAGTTGTCAGCCTCTTCATTGCCTAGGTGGCCCTCAGGGCCTGGTACCCACGCTACAGTAAGTTTGTTGGACAAGCCCACCTCCTCTAGGACATGTAGGCAGTCCCTAGAGGGACTGCATACATGCCTGGTCCCTCCAAACTGGTCCCTGACCAGTTTGGAGCTGATCTACTGGGAGCTGATTGCCTTTAGGGCTGCTTTACTGTCCGAGTTAATGACACTGTTTTTACTATTCATTCACTTCTTTTTCTTTTATCAGTATCACACAGTGCATTAGGGCAGCGATTTCCGCCTGAAGCACTGTGGTTTGCTGTGATATCTCCACCGTGGGCCTGTCGCCGTAGATACCAGCTCCGACCCTCTTGTTGATCTTGAAGCCGTCGGTGTACCAGATCTGGTCTGCTTTAATTGGAGGGCCTTCCTTCCAGTCTTTAATATCCGGTATAGCGACCCGAAAGTGTCTGCTGAAGATAAAAAGAGGAGTTATTTATCTGGAGGCATCTCGTACAAGGAGGCGACCTCCTCTAGCTTCCAACTCATGGTCCTTTGGTGTTTTGTAATCGGACCTTGGCCTTGTTTGAGTCTGTAACGTACCTACTGCTTTTACTTCACCCTGTATGCAGATATGTAGCGGCGGCAGATTCAGCAGCACCTGTAGGGCTGCAGTTGGGGTCGTTTCCATGGCCCCCGTGATGCATACGCATGGTAGCCTTAGCACACTTTGAAGCTGTCTGATTGTTATTGTCTTCATGACCTTTGCTCCCCAGGCAACCGAACCGAAATTTATCATTGGCCTTATCACCATTTTGTACAGCCATGTGTTCATCTTAGGGTTAACCCCCTAGGTTTTTCCGCAGAGCCTCCTGCATCTCCCAAGGGCCATTTTTCCCTTCTGGACGACTTTGTTGAGGTGTAGACCCCAGGTCATTTTTTGATCAAAGATTACTCGTAGGTTTTATTATTATTTTTTTATTATTATATAGCATTTATTGTTGTTAATCTTTCAATTTGTACATTTATGACTTATCCTAAACAATAAATACAGGGTTTTCCCACAAGAGAATCCTCGTACGGGGGTATTTGAACTCTTTCAAGAAGGGGATTTCCAATTTGTTAGGCCTGGGACATCTAAGCCCTCTTAGTACTCTTTTCTTTGTAAAGGGGAGAATTATGGTTTTCTGCGGATTAATCGACAGCCTTTCCCCCTGCACCAGTTCCGACTATGTTAAGTGCGTTTTGCATTCTTTCTGAAGTATATTTAAGGCGTCTGCCTCTGACTCAAGGTAGCTATTTAGCCCAAATTATCCATCTAGGTTATAATATCGCGAGTAATCTCCTATCAAAAATAACTTACCAATTATTAGATTCATTGAAAACAAAATCAATTACCCTAGAATGATCAATAAACATGTCCAGAGCTGACGACGGCGGAATATAAACACAGTCAATTACATAAACAGCTCTATCGTATCTAAAATGCACATAGACTTGTTTCACCTGAGAATCAGGAACTACCAACCTTCTTGCGCCCAAACATTTTTTTATGGCCATAAGCGCGCCTCCGACCACGTCTCCCATCATTCACATCACTGAAATCTCTGTTTAGCCATTAGATTATCATGAGATAAACATTTTCATGTATTTATTTTTGCATTTCAAAATGGATATATCCGTTTTAAAATATGTATGAACAGGGTCGGATTAAGGTCTTTTGGGGCCCAGGGCTATTTTCACAAAAGGGGCCCCTAGGTCCCTGAAATAAATTCAAACGTCACTCAAAAATTTACCTTGCAGGTTAAAAAAATGTAAATTTTCTATTTACTTACAGAACAAACAATACAATACAGGAAAGGTGGTAATCAAATAGTATATTGTTTTATTAGGAGTAAAAGTGATACTTTTTGTGGCGAGACTAAATGTTTGACAATTTTAGACGAGCCACAAAAAGTGCTTTTCTCCGAATAAAACATACGATTTTTTCCGCAAACGGTGTTCAAAGCGATGGAATCTAGGAAATTTCTGTGACGTCACTTTTTTGTCCGGCCGTGAGCGTACAAAAAAGTACTTTTTTGTACGCTCACGGAACGCGCGGACAAAAAAGGAACCAAAAAAATGACGTCTGTGAAGTCAAACTTCAACATTAAGAATTGAGGTTAATAAAGTCGTCATTTTTTGACGTTTGCGGAAAAAATAATTATTCTTAAATTCTTACAAATATAACATTTTTTTTTTTCGACATTTCAAATTCGTCAATCAAATCTGAAAAGTCTTGTTCTCATTAATTCGTTTTCGATTGACAATAGGGAAAGTGACGATTATCTATTATCCCCAATTGCAGAACGATATTTGTTTCTAATATAAGCTAGAGTACTAAAAGACCGTTCACCCTCGCAATTTGTGATAGGTATGAATAAATATATTCTCAAATTAATGTTAACGTTTGGAAAAACCTGGAGAAGGTCTTTTTCTTCCATCTGCCTCAAAAAAGAATGAACGTTCAAGCCATCATCTTTCAAGTCCCGAATATAAGCACAAAACTGCATCAATTCAGCTGTAAAGTTGTCGGACATGTCACTTTTATGTATTTCTATTATTCTTGAAGAACTTGCCTTAAGTTCATGCTCCGAAATATTCGGTATTTTTGTTAAAACCCAAAGATATTACTAACATATTCATACGCTTCAGAACGTTTACTCAATTCTTGGGAAAGTTTGTCCAGACTGACATTAAATGTTTCCACTCTAAATTTGTTTGGACTTCGTAACAAAAGTTCATCCTTACCATCTGGATATTTTCGCATTAAAACTCGCTTCTCCTCGTCAATATATTTTGAAGAAACGTATATAGAAAGTTTTTTTGCTTTTTGCTCAATATTATTAAATTCTGTCTCTGTGTGCAGTGAGTTTACAAATTCTTCATGATTTCATCCCCGTGTGAAATGGTGTTTTGGGGCCCCCCTCATTTCGGGGCCCGGGGCTTTAGCCCCCAAAGCCCCCCCCCCTTAATCCGGCCCTGTGTATGAATGTAATTTTCAAAATATCATCTAGGACACTTTTTGTATTAGTCCTGAATCTGAAAAATACACCGCAATGGCTTACGGTTTTCTAAAGTCTTACAGTTACATTTTTTGAATTTGATTTTTCAATAGTTTATAATCAAAACAATCAATTTTTTCTATGACACAAATCGTCGTTAATTTCACTAATGGGCGTATATTGAATTTCTCAAATTTTACAAGCTATATGATATACGCCTTTCAGGAAGATGCATATTTCTTGTTTCAAAACATATGTCATAAGAAAAATGTGTTAAACTCAGAAACTACTAGCAGTTCATATGCGCCAATTAGAGGGCGTATAAACTTGATGTTTTGCGACATAAATTTCCTGAAAACGAAAAATCGTCTATTTCTCATATACATCCCTTTGTCAATTATAGGTGGTAGACGCTTTTTACTCATTGGGCGTCGACCGGTGAGATGCCACCATGCCAGAATTGAGTAGCGCTAAGTGGTATCACCACGTTCCGCTACTGCGCTGGCAGTCCGGTTCCAACAATGAGTAACAGCATGATGGCGCCTCCAGGATCAAAATATTCCGGAGGTAAAATACCCGACCACTCGGATCTCCGGGCGTCGGGTGATCCTGGGGGTCCTTCATGCAAAGATATAAAGAGAAGGTCAAAAACTCAACTCAGAATTGATTTTAGCAATATAAGAGGAATAAGTACAAATATGAATTCAGTTCACCAACATCTTGAAGAACAAAGACCTGACATCCTTGTTCTCACTGAAACTAAAATCAGTTCTGCAACACCTATTGTGAACTGTCTTTTTAGGCGATTTCAACGTCCACAATATACCCTGGCTGAAACACCACAACAAAACAGATAACGAAGGCAGAGAAGCAGAAGCTTTTGCCATAAGTTGTGGTCTAACGCAGCTTGTCGATGAACCTACCCGTATCTCAGAAAGGGGCGAATTTGCAGCGCTTTTAGACTTGTTCCTAACCACAAATCCTGACTCGTACACAATTCAAGTAGATGCTCCACTTGGTTCGTCCGATCATAAACTTATAATAACAAAGTGCGAAATGCTCATCCCACCAAGCCAACAACCACTTCCTCGTAAAATGTGGCACTATAAATCGGCAAAATGGAATGACCTAAAACAGTTTTACCTGGATTTTCCATGGCAAGAGGTTTGCTTTAAAACAGCTGATCCCACTATTTGCTGTAATGAAATAACACAAGTAATCTTATCTGGAATGGATGCATATATCCCACATACAACTAAACGTAGAGCTAATGCAAAACCTTGGTTCAACAGCCAGTGTCAAACGGCTGTACAGAAAAAACACGGAGCATATAACCTTTGGAAACGACAACAAACCGCTCAAAACGACACAGAATTTATAGAAGCCAGAAATAGTTGCAAAATTACTATTGACTCCGCTAAAGAAACATACAATCAAAGAATAAAAAACAGGTTGCTGAATTGTCCAAGTAGTTCTAGGTGCTTTTGGTCTCTTGCAAAAGCTGTTGGATCTAACTTTACCAAGTCATCCATACCACCACTTACAGATAAAAATAATCACTTAGCCACAACATCAGAGGAAAAAGCCAATATGCTGGCCCAAATGTTTTCCTCCAACTCCAACCTAACAGTGCCAAACGGAAAAACTCCACCGTTCATTGAAAGGGTTTCCCATAGTATGCCAGAGGTACCCTTTTGTCACAGAGAAATACGAAAATCCCTTAAAAAGCTAGATACAAACAAAGCAATGGGTCCGGATGGCATTCCCGCAATAGTACTCAAAAATTGCGCCAACGAACTCACCCCAACTTTCGCAAAATTATTCAATTTGTCTTACAGGCAAGGAGTATATCCATCATCATGGAAGTCTGCCGCAGTACAACCCATTCCAAAGAAAGGAAAAAAGACAGATCCGTTAAACTATAGACCAATTGCTCTACTTCCGGTGATATCAAAAGTAATGGAAAGAGTTGTGAACAATCACCTAACCAAGTACTTGGAAAAGTACAAAATTATCAACGATAAGCAATACGGATTTCGAAAATATAGGTCAACTGGCGATTTACTTACATACGTCACTCACTTATGGCAAAAAGCGATTGAGTTGCGGGGTGAAACAAGAACAATTGCCTTAGATATATCTAAAGCATTCGACAAAGTTTGGCATGAAAATCTGCTCAACAAGCTCAAAGCAATGGGATTATCGCCGAAACTTTGCACTTGGTTTGAAATTTACCTGAAGGACAGATCCATTTATGTTGCACTGGATGGCCAGAACTCCAACTCTTACCAAATAAATGCTGGTGTGCCACAGGGAGCAATCCTTTCGCCAACTCTTTTTCTGATTTACATAAATGACCTCATAGATAAAACAGTAAATCCACTTTATTGCTTTGCAGACGATGGCAATGTAGTCTCCTCACTCATACCACCCACAGGTCTTTCCGCACGTGAATTCCATCATCTTAGACTAACTCAAATATCGCAGATAAATAACGACCTGGAGATAATAGAGGACTGGGGTAACAAAAACCTTGTACAGTTAAACGCGCAGAAAACCCAAGCAGCTCTGTTTTCAAAAAAGACCAGCACCGGTGAGCCAAACATCATGCTATCTGGAAGTGCTGTCACATTACAGGGTCAGTTGAACATCTTGGGGGTTACTGCAGAGACCAACATGTCTTGGCACAGTCACGTGGCAGATATTGCTAAAAGGGCGTCCCAAAAGCTGGGGGTGCTATTTCGTACAAGACATCTGTACACACCAAGCCAATTGCTGACACTCTACAAAGCCCAGATTCGACCAACTATGGAGTACTGCTCACATATATGGAGTGCAGCACCCAAACATACCTTAATGCTTTTGAACACCGTGCAAAAACGAACTATCAAGCTGATCAATGACCCCGCACTTACACGTAACTTGGATGGTCTCGAACATCGCAGATCTGTGGGCGATTTATCTCTTTTCAATGAATTTACTGTCAAACTAGAGGCACCAAGAACCTCATTATATCAGAATTCATATCTCTGGAGAACAGCATCGCTGTGGAATAAACTCCCTGCGACGGTTTTCCCTGCAGGTTACAACCTGAACCGTTTCAAGACCAACATACACCGACATTTCCGCGCACTTGCCGCTTCTCGAGCGTGATAGGACAGTTCCTTGCGAGTGCGCATATCCGTAAAAAAAAAAAAAAAAAAAAAAAAATTAACGACAAAATCTAAACAGGGTATCCCATTAAGGTCGGCAAGGTACAATATAATGGAAACCATAGACCTCACAGCTTCGGGATTTTTTTTCCTCGGCTAAATCGGCTAGGAGAAATTGATGGAAATTATTTTCAAGTTTATAAGATGAACACTAGGGGGCGCAATTACGATGATATAACTAAAAATTCAAATTTTCTCAAGAAATCGCTATATTAAGATACTGTTTTAACAGCAGAAATCGAAAGTTTATTAATTTTTGCGCCAGTTTGGTCATTAGGCTTTTTGCGTATCTTCACTAACAAGGGTGGGGGAAGGTGGTGAAAAAATAGTTTTAAAAATTGCTGTATCTTCCATATCCCTTATCCAAACTCATTCAATTTGGGCTCATTTGAAAGAGAATTTCATTGTAATAAAGAACACCATTTTGTTCGGGGTCAATAGTCTCCACCGCGTCTTCTATAGGGCGCTGTTTAACCAAGATTCAGTTTTCTCTAATTTTTTTGAAAAATCCAAATGGCATGATATTATTTTTTTATTGCTGTGCTTGAAGAGCAAAAAAATATCTACATCTGCATCTGCATTCGTTTTCAAGTTATGTAAGGTCTATGGTTTCTATACTATCGTACCTGGCGACCTTAGTGGGACACCCTGTATAAATCAATAATATAATAATCAAGCAATAACTAAAATCAATTATGGTAAAATGTGAATATTACAGAGAAAATATCTCTCATGGTATATATAGTCACTAGATATGCTGGAAATTATAATATTAGATTGCAAAACCCTGGTCATACTATACAGGGTATACTTAAATATTATGTACAAACGGAAGCGGGTGATTCTTTGGTTTATTTTATGACTAAAATTTGTAATAAACATAGGTCCGCAAACGTTATCGATCTACAGGGTGTTGAAATTTTAATATTTTTTTAGTTTTTTCTTTATAGCTCCTGCAATTTCTGAGGGATTTAGCTCAAATTTGGGATATAGATTACACAATAGGAGCTAAATGATTACACAACACATGTCAAACATTTCCCAGAATCTACAGGGTTATACTTTTTCAGGGGTCATGTCCCCTTTTCTGTCCCAGAACTTTTTTGCGGTGCACCGCTGGTAGATTCTAAAAAACAAAATGACTTTTCTACCTTATTTAGAAACTTTTTGTTCTCCTGTAGTTTTTTCGAATCACCGACACTTATCGAGAATAAAATTAAAAAAACAAATCTCTGTAATTAGCTAGATGAAACTACAGTGACTCGATAAACCTCTTCTACCTACAGTAGCGACAATAGAGGTCCCGTCTCCATATTTTGGCTCTTTTTCAATAGGAATCGAGAAGTAAGCGATGTCCTCGCCGCCATATTCGTGCTCATTTCTAATATGAATACATTAAAATTTCAACAGCCTGTAAATCGGTAACGAAGCGTTTGGGTACCTATGTTTATTAGAAATTTTAGTTATAAAATTAACCAAAGAATCACCTCCTTCTGTTTCTACATGATATTCAGGAAAACCCTGTATGTAAAAATCACATTTATTCTGTAGGACCTAAGGTATTTAATGAACTGCCAACTGAATTTGAATGTAAACCATATAAAATTAAAAAATGTATCACGCAATGGCTGATTGATTCAGATTATGGAATCATGTATGTCGTATGGAAACTTTTTTGTCTTAGGCTAGTTGTTACATATGCAAATGAGAAAATAATATCTCAAAATTTATTTAATCATAAATAATTTATTTATGTTGAAGTAGAGGGTGTACACTCAGTATTTTAAATACAATTATGAACCAAAATACATTTATTAGTAGGTTTAAGTGATGGACAATGGTAATAGTAATAAGTAGTAACTCTACACGTATTAAAGACTACCATTTTTGTTGCTCCATATTGCACACTGCAATTTATTATATGTAGTACCAAAATTTAAAAAAATATCTTTTATCATTTCAGTCAAATTTATTACAAATTCTATTTATTCAATAGACCCCATTGCTTAATAAATTTAAAGTTAGTTGTTACAAAAAAAAAATAAAAAAACTATTTTTTAGGTTAAACTATACAATAAGAGAACCCAACATGAATGGAGCTTTGACTGAGGATGATTCAATAACAAACAAAAAGTTAGGAACGGAAATTGTAGAGTATAATAAGGACTGGGCGCAGAAACAACGTGTCCCTCATCACAGTGGTTACAGTGATTCAATTACTGATATAAAATCACAGATAAAATCAGATATAAAATCAGAGATGGAATTAGAGATAAAATCAGATGTCGAAAACCCTCTAGAACCTACAAATTTCAATAATTTAATAGCTAAAGGTTTTAATATTGATAATAAAGAAACAGTGGAACTTTCACCATCACTTCCAAGGAGTTTGTACCATTTCAGGCCCAAAACGCCACCTCCTGGCTCTGACCGTCCATGTCAGTTATTACAACCTGACTCGAATTTCATTGAGCCATTCCAAATGGAAATACAGCATTTGCTTCCGCTTAGCGATGCTGTTGTTGATCATTCACCGTTTCTTACTGATGAAATCGATTTGCAAACTCGCTGGTTGGATAAGGGACCACAAGGTCCGATTTTTGAAGACTACGTTTATGAAGAACAAAAAAAGAAGAAAGTGGATTCATTCACATCAAGTCGTGTATCCATTTATGATGCCAGTGGGGAGATACCGCAACCAGAAGATGACGAATTGATGGAGGTGAACGACGAGTTGGATTCAACTGAAGAGGAGGAGATAGAGACAACTGATGAAGACGAGGCAGAGATAGGAGTGGTAGAAGCAGCAGTTGACGAAGACAGGGTGTATAGTCCTAGAAATGGGCAGATGCCAAAACTTGGCTTTGAAGCTGATGGTAAGTTGATATTACGCTTTTTTGCACTCAAAAGCTCCTTAGATCTACTAAATTTTAAAAGCCCTTATCATTTTCAAAAAATATCAATTTCCAGAGATTTTCCATTGAGTTGCGTTGAAGTTTTTTTTTTAACACTTTATGCTTATTCATAACGAAAGAAGAAATAATCGAAACGTATGAAACTATTATCTTTACTATGCGAGTACTAAATTTGATTCATTAAATTCGTTATTTTGCATGTTTTATAAGTGGTTTAGGAATATTATTGTTCACTAGTTTAAGAACTTAATCTTTTTCAAACCGAACTTTTCAATTCTAATTTTAAAATAAATTAAGTTCACATCATGATTGGCTTTTTATTTCTATGACGTATATATTTGTAATGTTGATGAGAAGGCTGCCCAGACAAAAAAAACGTTGGTATTGGCATTTTGCACCTATAGTCAATTTTTTGAAGAAAGATACTAATAAATCAATTCAATTCCCTGTTAAATGGCCATAGGCGTTTATTTTTTGCCTGTAATACTTGGTGAAAATTGAAATCCATGTTTGGGAAAAAGTAAAACTAATTTTTACTATATTTTAGTACAACAGTATGTGTTTCACTGTAGTAGTGTAGCTTCGTCAGTCTCAATTTCTCATAATAAGAACCCCTAAATTAGATGTCGCAAACATTAATTAAAATGCGACAAGGACTAGATAACAATCTTCTCTATAGGGGATAGGTAGGCTCAGCACAATTCTGGATATGCATACAGGGTACTAAAAAAATCGTAAAGCCAAAACGTTGCAATCAAGGTGGCGGCGTTATCGTCGTTCATCTGATAAGTTGAATTTGAAATATTTGATTTTTGAGCCAAAAAAGACTCCACATCAGAATTAGCTCACATATTATCTAGGACATGTTTTTTTTTCCAGTCTTGAGGTTTTCTGTGAAAATTCGTAAAATTAGTACGAGAAATTGTCAAAGGTTCTCAATGGTAGTTGGGTAGCTTCTGTTCCACTCTGTATACGAATTTCGGGTTCTACGCACACATTTTTGGCTTTTTGTGCGGTTTTTGATGTGTTAGAACAAAGCTATTAATAAAATTTCTAGTCACAGTCTATTTATGCGATACTTTTTGTGACGAGTGTATGTGAAAAAAATCTAATTTCCAATTTGTATTTATTGAATCAGGAATTTTTTTCGCATCCTCAGGACTGCAATAAAATAGTGAAAATAGACATAAATACTGGTTCTTCCCACGCTCATGATGAAATAGCTCAGATTGCATTGGGCGCAAGGAGTTTTATACTTACACCACGTTTGATTTCATTTCTTTCTTTTTACACATTGTATTTTGGCCTTTTAATGCACATTAAACATTTTCTTTCTTTTTCGGAATACTGCCTCTAAATGTCCCTTTGATTTGCTAAGACTCTAAGACAGCATGCCATGTACTATAGGGTAGTGTACCTACAATTTATTTTAGAATTCTAGTTTGTAACACGATTTTTGGGAAGCGTTGATTGATGTTGTGGCGATTAATAGAATGCGCCTAACTCGTTGTCAAAGATGTCATATGTTATGTGAAAAAATATAATTTCATGTCATGAAAAATAATTATTATCACTCACCAGGTGCTACAAGTTCTTTTTCTTTTGTGGTGATGATTATCACAAATTGAGGAACACAAAAATATTATATACAGGGTGACAATTTGAAAAGTAGCAATCAGGAATATCTCAAATTCGTATCGGGAGAACCAAAATGAAGCACTTTTTGAGTCACCCCTTAGGGGGTAGCTACCCTAACTTATTTTTTTCTTTAATACGAACCTGCCTTGTGTTACACATCGTTGCATTCCCTTTACATTTTTATAGCAAAATCTTTTTGAGATATCGTTGTTCAAAAGAAAGCAACATTTTTGAAAACTAGTAATTTTGACTATCTTTAGACAAAAGAATTCTGTCATAAAAGTCTCAAATACACATCGGCGAAACCAAATAATGTGTGTATCGTATTTCTATCTGCTTCTGCACGCCGTAAAGAGGATTAAAAAACCTTCCAAAGGAGGTATCACACGGGGCGGGTTCTCATGTTTGAAAAATTATTAGGACATGAGAGAATGAGAATGCCTAAATCTTTATGTGGCAATTCTCAAACCCATTCACAATTCCAGAGACAAGACTAACATAGGCAGCTACTGTTTCATTAGCATCATTAATACCTTCTCTTAGGTTTTTGAAAAATGTCTAGATTATTGTTTGGTGGAATTTTTTAACACTAATAAAATTTTATCTAAGCGACAGTTTTGCTTTATGAGTCGACTTTCGCACAACAGATGCAGTTTGTGAATTGTATAAACAGGTCACAAACAGCCTGGATAGCAGCAGAAACTGTCTCGCGCAAAATATCTTAGGAATCGTAATTGACTAACATTTGAAATGGCATCAAAATCTTCTGAGATTAACAAAAAACATCAGAAAGTTATATAAATTTTATTCAATTAGAGAAATTTTGAATAAGCAGCTTTTAATCCTGGTATATGAGGAAATTGTTGAGTCATTATTTAGGTACGGTGTGGTTGTTTGGGATGGACTCTACCAGAACACATTATCCACATTGAACATTGCACCTTGCAATTATGTATTAAAAGTAGTTTTCACAAAGAACAAACACTTTTTCTCTGCTCTGTTCTAATCAATATTGCCTATCTACCTGGGGCCCGATTCTCGGGAGTAGAGCTCCCCGAGAGAACAACTTTTTCGTCTTTATCATTCTCATTTACTTTTTGATTACGTTCACAAGTACAAAACATTCGTTCTATCGATTGAACTCCTGGGCCCGTATTCTAGTCGCCTGGGAACAGCGTTCTCTCAAGAGAACGATTGCTCTGTCTTAGTCACTCATATTGTTATTTCCATAATACTGACAAAAACAGAGCAATCGTTCTCTTGAGAGAACGCTGTTCCCCGTTTACGAGAATACGGGCCCTTGCCGAGAATCGGTCCCATCAGTACCAAACTAGAATTAATGTTACTACACATCTAGAAACACTAAACAGCAAGTGCTTCCAGAATAAAGAGATCAATATTTTATCTTGCACCCAAAATGTATAACTTATTAAAACACATTAAGCATTTAAATGTGAAAAAAAAAAATGGTGTAGCATGCATAAATTTCATTTTTAGTTAGTGGGTATCAGGTCTTTAGAAAAAAAAAAACAATCAAAGATTGCTTCGATTAAGGGAAAAAATTTCTGTGAAAAAACAACTGACATTGTCTTTTGGTAGCTTTAACGATTGCTCAAAACTTTTCGCTGCGATTAATATTAGGGTCCCTGCTCGCAGTAGAAAGCAAACTGGTCTAAGAATCTTAGCAGAATTAATATACAACGAACCGCCCGGATTAATATGATCATGTCATTGTTTATCAAATGGCGTCTAGAGATTGACTTTGGCTGTTCTGCAATGAGCTTCAAAATTAGACCGACATTGTTATTGCGTAATGATAAATAATCTATGAGCATTCTCAATTCCATATGTCTTCATATGTGTTCTTGTATTCTGTTTACTTGTTCGTGTTTTATGTTAGGCATTTCCATTCCATATTGTTCTACAGTGTCTTTAAATAAGCAAGCGTTTTTGGTGTTTCTAGAGAAAGTTTTTCTTAACGCCAGCTAAGAGGGAATATTGTCTTGCTATTTCTTTTTTTTCCCAATTTGTTAGATGGAAATAAATTATCCTATCTAAGAAGTAGAAATGTAGGTATGTTATATTAGATAAAATTTGCTTATTTGGTTAGAAATTATTGAAAACTAATATTTATACAAGTAGGTATACGTTGTACTTAGTTTAGGAATATATTTTTGTTATTTAGTAGGTCTAGGTATAGCCTTCAATAGTATATTAAATTAGCTTTCCTTTTTGGCAACATAGATGCATAGGCATATAGGTGCCTTTTTAGTGTAGAAATTGTATTTTTTTTTTGTACTTAAAATTAAATTAATTGAATTGAATAGGAGTCATAACTCACTAAGTGAGGTATAGATCACATTATTCATTTAAAATCAAAACAAATCTTGGTGAACTTCATGAAAAATATGGAAGACAAGAGGAAAAAGCCTGAACAGAGAGAAAATCTAGAAGGATAGGACAGTTTGCAGTACTTTTACAACAAGAAGATGGGAAGAACAGGGAACAGAGCCGGCTTCAAGAAAATTTTAGAGGACCTGACTAAGAATTGAAGAAATTGGAAAGCTTTCCAAAACATAAAAGAGCATTCTTTAAGCCCAATTATATTTGCCAAAAAAAAATTACTACAGTAAATCTTTATAGTTACTTTCATGTATAAAAAAAGTTATTTTTGATTGTTTTGTTTTTGTTGTATTTAAAGTCACTGCGGTTTGTTAATATACAATCATCAATATCAACTGAATTTTCTGAGCAAATTTGATGAAATGCTTTAATGCTTGAAAATTCGAATTCAAATTCAAATTCGTTTATTTATGCTAAAAAGAATACAAATTCGTCCTTATTCTATTTTCCATACAATTGTTTAGACTAAGATATATTATAATTCTATAATTCTTTGGAATTTGTATGCTCTGCTGCCAAAGTTCACCACAATGATTATATCTTGAAACTAAATTAACAAGTTTCTAATTGTATCTGAATTCTGGGTTATATTGTCAATCAAAAAATTAAGTGTGTACAGTAGAGATCATGTTATTGATACTAGAATGATATTGGGTAGTAATTTTAATGTGTACATCATTTTTACATAGCCAGTTTTTTTTTTTATCTTACTCTTAAATGTATTTGCTGAAAAGTTACAGCTTTTAGAATCGTTGCTTAGCAAATTAAATATTTTTATGGCAATCCATTTTGTACATTTTTGCCCGCTTCCAATTTAGTTTTAATTACTGGGATGTTTTTTTTTTCTAATGATCGGGTTTCTATTTAGGTATTCCAACTTTAAACTATTGTAGTTATTTCATTGTTTGATTTTAAGTACA